GTGCTCCCATTCTGAGAAGTGGCAGGCAGCTTTGTCTTAGAGTCAGATTTCTGAGGCAGAAAGAAGTCAGTCAGGCTGAAAGGTCCTGCAGAAGGCAGAGCAGCACAGTCACCAGATTCCCACCTTGGAGGCCCTCCAGCCCACTCCATGGCCATTCCTTCACAGTGTGTTGGCTGCACCAGGAAGGAGACAGGTGTGCCTGCCAGGAGGACTGTAGGAGGCTCCTCATCCCACACACCTGTTCACGCCCACCTCCCACTGCCAGCAGGGGCTAAGAGCCTGGGAGATCTGCTGCCATTTGGCCGGGACTCTGATCCTCTCCATGGGGCATGCATCCATAGTGCTCACTGTCCAGGGCAGATGGCAGCGCTTGAAAGCTGTGCTCACACGGGGTGAACACAGGGAGGGCTGCCGAGCTTCAGGCTCCGGGGGCTGGACCAGTGTCTCACTCAGCGCAGGGATCCAAAGAGTTTCAGTGGATTCCTAGAGTGAGTCGAGTTTTAATTTATTAAAACTAGAAGATACCGGGTGCCTTGGTGGTTCAATTGGTTAAGCAGCTACCTTCAGCTCAGGTCACGATCCCAGGGTCCTGGGATTGAGCCCTACATTGGGTTCTGTGCTCAGCTGGGAGTCTGCTTGAGGATTTTCTCTCTCTCTCCCTATGCCTCTCCCTCTGCTCTCTCTCTCTCTCTCAAATAAATAAAATCTTTAAAAAAAAAAAAAACCAAACTAGAAAAGATCTGCAAGGACATTAATCCAACCCTTTCATTTTACAAGCGAGGAGAAGACAGTAGAAGAATGACCTGCTTGCCAGAGTCCCACGGTCAGTAGGTGACAGGCAGCCAGTCCACTGCTGTGGATAAGAATTCCAGGCTCAGGGCTAAGGAGCCAACTGCTTGGCTGTTTTGAATTACTGAAAATATCTTTATGCAGATGTCTAGGCAAATGTACCCCATAAATAGCTGTGGTAAAAACAGAAGCAACACATGAAAGGGAGCTTGTTGATTGCAGTCTGCACAGGGCAGCGGTGGCACCTAATGACTGGGGAAGTGAGGAAACCAGCAGCCACCACCACCGGGACCAGGAGCCTGGCCCGAGACCCTCCCCCAACCTGTACCTCAGGAGGGCGCTGGGGTCCAAGGGACGCTCAGTCCCTCCTGGCCTTAGTTTGTCATGCTCCAGTTCTCTCCTGGGAGCCACTGCTGGGTCATGGGAGCCTGCCACACAGGGGGCTTGGGTGCCAGCAATGGATGATGCCTCTCACTCAGGGAAAGACAGCTGAACGGATTTACTGTGACTTCAAATTATGGTTTCAGGTTTGTTTGTTTTTAAATATGAACTGAGTGTTTTGTGGGCTTTTTTTTTTTTTTTTACTTCGAAAATGGTATCTCTAGGGATAGATGCCTGCCACTGAATAGAAACACAGATCAGAGGCTTGATCTCTGGAGCTTCCTGCCTGACAGTGTAGGAAGCCATGTGTCCAGGTCCAGGCTAGGCTGGTTGGGGTCAGGGCCCAGAAGCTCCAGAGATGGTTTTTCTGTGGCCTGCCAGAGCTCGCAAGGGACTAGAGTAAGAGTCAGCACTCACATGGCATTCAGGGGCAGAAATCAGCAAGTATCAATGATGTACGGGTGGGCTTGACAGCCTGGGGGAGAACACGACAAAGTTAGGTGCCACAGGTTCGAACATGGGGCCTCTCCCCTGGTGGGTTTATGTGACCTGGGGGGCCCAGGTCCTGGTTACTGAAGTCTGTACTACCTGGAAACAAGAGAGAGTGTCCCAGGAAACCTCCTTAGAGCAAACAGGTGCTTCGATTGACTGTATTTACCAACCCTGGTCAAAATCATCTGATTGGTTCTGCATCAAGCTGGCCAGGGGTCAGAGTAGGGTGTCACATGGCTTTGCAGACCAGCCCTGGAGACCAGGTGGCAAGTTCTCAGGAAAGGGTATAGGTTGCAGATGGCCCTCCTCTGATCATGTCAGGGAAGGAATTAGCCTGGGGGAGGAGCTTCGTGATCAGGCAAGTGTGATGCTTATGGAGGTGTGCGGCCTCCCCACAGCACCATCCCACAGCCCCAGGCACTCTGGTCCCTCTCTTCAGCATCTGTGCCTTTACCCACACTGTTCCCTCAGCGTGGAAAGCCCTTCTCTACCTTGTCCACAGGCAGGCTCACTCGGATGATGGTGCCCACATCCAATGGCCCTCTTCCAGAAAGCTGTCCCTTGGCTCTGCCTTACCGGCAGTTGGTCAGTGTCTTGTGACTTAGTGTCCCTGACCTCTGCTGGAGCTGTCCCCTGTCCTCGCAGCCCATACAAAGACCCCACAGGCCTGCCCCAGCATAGGCAGGGGCACTGTGGAATAGGTTAGTGTTGTTGGTTCCTTTACATGCCTCTGGCACTTCATATGTTTCAGTAAAAAGACACCGTGGCCATCTGCACTTGCACTCTGAAATCCCAGCCTGTGGCCTACCCTCCTGTCCAGGCCCTTGTCTTACTCACTGTCCCATCAGCTGAGACTCCCCACGACCTTCGGTGCTGGATGTTTTGCAGCCATTTCTCTAATCCTGACACTTTGTGCCTCTGGACAGCATTTCCCCTTTGTGCCCACTCAGAAAGCAAGACCTAGAGCCCCAGGCTGGGATTTGCACCCAGCATGCCTCCCGTATACCTCCCCAGCTCCCTAACTCCTTCCAGACATGTTCCTTCCCAGGCGCTTCCTTGGCCACTTCCAGAAACCACATTTCTGCGCCTCACCCTGCAAACGGTGTGCCCTGCGCAGGCCTTCGGGGTGACCCCACCTGATGTCCTGTGCCCCAAGGACTCCACTCAGCCAGGAGGAATCAGATTGGCCCTAAGCTCTTACAGTAAGTGGTATCTTTGAGTCAACTGGAAGGACTCCACCACGCAGCTTGGATTATACTGGTTTCCTGCGACCCCAGAGGGGGGCTCATGGGGATATTCTAGAGCTGGGGTCTTTTTCTCTAGAAGAAGCTTTTTAGTTCAGAGCCTTGGGATTTGTGGAATGCCCCATGAATCACGGGGAGCACCTGAGGCCACAGTGTTGTCTGGGGATATGGTACTCCCTGGGGATGCCTGCAGCTGGAGTCATCACACTCAGGTGCCTCCCATGGGGTTACGAGCCCCCCGTCCAGGCAGACACCTGTCCTGCTGCCCCGATGACGATACGGGCTCCCGGGGCTGTGGTCTCTGCTGAGAATGCGAACACACGTGGGCTCGTGACAGGCACTCTGAGCATTGCCAGAGCATCTCCTCTGGAGGGAGCATCTGCCCCCACCCCCCTTTCAGGGGACTGCTGCTCTTTGCAGTGTAGTCTGTGGAATTATGTGAGTCTCTGCGTGTCACTCCAGGCTTATCTGTGCTTCGCTGGCTCTGATGGCAGAGACACGCCGTGGCCCCAGTCGCTTGTAATGACATGTTTCCTGAGCGAGCAAGACAGAGGGGCAGACGCAAGCAGGCTCCCAGGCCTCCAAGCCCTGTGCTCTTCCTTCTCGTGCAGGGGCTGGGGGCTGCCGAGGGCGCTCACAGCTTGGCTCCACACAGCCCTGGAATGTAGGTCAAGTGGGACATTTCTGAGAACACTGATAGAGTGGGGGGAAGCCAGGGGGTAGAAACTATACCTGGAAAACACAAATGGATCTTTCACATTGTTTCTTTAGACTGTCGTGGATCCTGGCCAGGCCCAGGAGGGAAAACTGCCTTCTGGCCTTTTCTCAGGAAATGCTCAAGCTGCCACTACCAGCAGCCCAGAGTATTTACCAAATCTTCGAGGTGCATCTCGTATGAGACCTGGTCTTTCCCCATAAGCGTCCTTGAGTACGTAGCCGAAACTCCAAGAATGTGCATAGTGTCTAAATCAAGGTTAAGAGACCACTGACTGTCCAGCAGCGATGCAGAGAACGTTCCCAGAGGCTGCGCTGAGACCATACCAGCCGGTTGTGGGCAGGTTCAGAGGGAAGTGTGGGGGGTGGCCTGGTGCCTTCAGTGGAAGTGGGCATGTTTCCTGCCTGCTGCATCTTCTGCCCACCTGTGCTGTGTGCCCTCTGCAGGCCCCCAGGGCAGACAGCAGTGCCTGCGGCAGGGAGGCAGTGCTCAGGAAACATTCTTCTTTTTTTCTCTTCTTTTTTTAAAGATTTTATTTACTTACTTATTTTAGGGAGAGCGAGCAGGAGGAGGGGCAGAGGGAGAAGGAGATTCCCAAGCAGATTCGTCCTGAGTGGGGAGCCCAATTCTGGGCTGGATCCCATGACCTGAGCTGAAACCAAGCTCAACTGACTGAGCCATCCCAGCACCCCAGGAAACACTTTCTAAGGGAATGAATGTTCGTGTCCTGCATTAGGAGTGTGAAATTTGGGGTCGGATCAAGAATGCCATCTGTGCTAATAAAACTGCCTGGCAACACTGAAGCATAAGCTACAATGCAAAGCAGAAGTCTCAGGCACACTTGAGCGGGTCCCCCAGACAGGGGCTGCCGGGCCAGGAGTCCTGCGGGGCCTTGTACCGTGCCGAGGCTCAGATAGTTGCCTGGTGGCTGACCTGAGCCCTGGGTTGGGGCCAGCACACTCCTTGTCTTGCCCGTGGCTCCTGCCCAGAGATTAATTGGCCTTGGGACACTGTCCTCCCCATCAGCTTGGTGGCTGCTGCTGATTCTAATGGTCCTCACGTTTGCCTGCACACAATCACTTCACACAAGGATGTAATTAAATCCTCTGAACAGCACTTTGGGACATTTGATTATGCAGAAAAACTCCATAGAAATGTAAGCTGTTGTGTGCAGCTGGTTTACCCTGCGGTTTCTGTCAGTGCTTCCTGTTCTGTGACAATTACCTGAAAGGAAGGTGAAGCAGGCGAAGCCAGAAGGGAGGCCGGGCTGGGCCCTGCTGTGTAGCCCCTGAGCTGCCCCTTCAGGACTCCACAGGGAGCAGCACCCCCTGCCTGCCCCGCGTGTGCCCTGCTTACTCCCTTGGCCCTTCTCTCCCCAGGAGCTGCCAAAGCATGACGAGCTTGGTCAGCAACACCATGTCGCCGATCAAGGACGGGACCTCCTCTCTCCCCAGGAGGCAGAGCTCCTTCGCCAGGCCCCCACTCCGTGCTCTATATGACCTGCTCATAGCGCCCATGGAAGGGGTAAGTGCCCCCTGGGGCCCAGAGGCTTCTAGGCGTCAGGACACATTGTTTACTGCTCAGTGCCCACATGTGCCCCTTAGATACAAAATGGGCTCCTGAGACAACCAGGGGTTTTCCAGAACACACATCTCTCTCCAACTTCTCTGTGTTTGGAAGCACATTTTTGGTTGGCTTCTGGTTAATGGGTGATGCCCTGGGCTCAGCTGTCGGGTTCAAGCCCTAGCTCTGTTCCTTTCCAGCCAGGCAGGTCTGGCCTCAGCTGCATCAGGTACACTATGAAGTGATGCCCTCCTCCCATCTTCTCATCAGTCTTTGAGGCCTAGGGAAGCATGAGGTTGTGCCCATCTCAATGGGAACCATGCCATCTATGTGGGCCAAGAGCATATGGCAAGGGGGATGCGCCCATGACTCTGCTTTGCCCTGCTGGGAAGCCTTCCCCATCTCCTGCCTCTCATTTGAGGGTCTTGCCTGAGCAGCTCACACCAGGGCTGTGCTTTCTGCTGAGAACAGATCCCTCAGCCTCTGCCACTGTCAGGAGCCACTGACTCTATCACAGAGCCTGGCATCAAAGACATCCTTTCACTTGGTATTTCTCGAGAAGGTTGAGAACAGCTCCTGATGGGTTTCTGTGGCTCTGGACTTTGTACATCATTCTTTTCTCCGGGTATCGCTCCCTAACTGGGTGGGGGAGACCAAAGGGCTCAGGGATCATTTATGAATCTGTCAGATTCCTTTACATATAACTGTGTATTAGTCATCTCTGGCCAGTGTACTATGAACTGGGTGGTTTGGACAACTGCTGTTTATTTCTCTTGGTTCTGCAGACTTGAGGTCCCAGGTGAGGGTGCCAGCATGTTCACATTTTTGCTGAAGACCCTCTTTCTGGCTATAGACAGCCCCCTTCTCACTGTGTCCTCACATGGTGGCTCTGGTCTCTTCCTCTTGTAAGAGCATTAACCCCATTATGGGGGTACTGTCCTTGTGACTTCATCTAAAGCAAATTATTTCCCAAAGGCCCCACCCCCAAATACCATCCTACTGGGGATTAGGGCTTCAACATATAGATTTGGAGGGATACCAGCATTTAGTCCATAACAGACCCCAAGGAAAGCCCAAGGTGCCTGCACTCATGGAGGCCTGGCTCTCAGAAAGGGAGGGCGTGATTGACGGGCCTAGGAGAGCAGACTGTAGGCCTGCATATCCTAGCGACTGTCTGCAGCCAGGTGGGAGTTTTGTCTTGCAGACATTCAGGTTGCCCCTCAGCAGCTCACTCTTCAGCTTCAGCCAGCTGGCAGAGGTGAAATGTGTCCTCAGGAAACCCCTCCTTGACAGCATTTCCCTGCCTGGCCAGCCAAGGACGTGTGCCAGCTTGCCCAGTATGTTTTAGGAGGCTGCATGCCTGCTAGGGCCCTCCAGACTTCTCTCGCTCAGGGAGCCAGGGGTGGTGGGAAGCCCAGAGCTTCGAGGGCTGGCAGTCTAGACTCACATCTGACACTGACCTTCCCCGGCTGGGTGACCTTAGCCAAGCTGTTTCTCGTCCTTGTTAAGAAGTGAGACCATGCCACAGAGTGTGTCAGGTCCGAGCAGGGCTGGGCTCAGAGGAGTGGGAGGAGCTTACAGGACAGCAGTAGCAGGAGGACTCCTGGAGAGAGGTGGCTGCTGTGCCATATAGCTGCCCCTCCTGGCACCCCAGGGCCTCTGGTCCCACCAGCACAGAGGCCCAGTCCTGTCTTCTCCTTCCCTGCAATGCACTGGGCTGCCCTGTCCTTTGTAGGACTGTTGTCCCCTTGGTGTCCTCTTTTTAATGAAGGGCCAAGACTTCAGAGAGCATCCAGCTCAGAGCATCTCAGATGCCATGCTTAGCGTGATTTGTGTGCCGTATCCCAGGGAAGAAATATACACCTATACCCTTAGGCTGATTTGTCATCAAATGGTCGTGCAGACCATTTCGGTGACTTAACTACCACCCCTGCTCGCCCTGAGCTCTACATTTTGCACTAATCCCCTGGATCCTCTGAAAGCTATTCAGACCTTCCATTCTTTCACTTGCTTGGGCCTCCTGAGGCCCTTTGCACTCCCCCTTTTGTGTCTAGGTCCCAGATTACTTGATCCATGAATATGGAATGGGCTGGTGGGGATGGTGAGGAGAGGCAGGGAGCAGAGGGCAAAGCTGGAGCCTGGGGCTGTGACCAAGCGTGTACTTGGATACTCAGGTCATCTGGAGCTGGCAAGCACCTCACCTCGTTCTGGCCCAGGTTGAATGTCCCCTCCTCTTAGAAGCCTTTCTTGTCCTCTTCTTCCATCAGCCTGCAGGCTTCATCCCCCTCCCTGCCACTGGTCCCATAATTACCCCATGTCTTTCATGGTACCCAATACCTCACTGGACTCAGAACTTCACTCTTGGCCTTTTCCCCCTTGCTCCCTCCCTGAAGGCAAGGATGGTGCCTCATCTCTGTGTCCCCAGCAGCTGGCATGGGGCCTGGTACATGCTGACACTTGGTCAAGTTTATGGAATGGTATGTGGTTCAAAGCTGTATTTGTTTTTTGCATGTAGTCTGGGATACAAAGCAGAAGACCCAAGGCACAAATCAGCCTGTGGACTTTGTGTGGCCGCTCTGTGTGGCACTTAGAAGCTTTCTCCGAGGCTAGGAGGCAGAAGAAAGGGGCTGGGCCTGCTCTTGCACAGCTTGGAATCCAGTGAGCCCCCAACCCTGCCAAGCAGCATGGTACCAGGATTCTGGCTTATTTCAGGGTAGGATCATGAGTCACCCAACATGTCTGCAGGGGACCCACACATGCCCCATTGAGTCAGGGGAAGGTGGTTACTGGGAAGGGGCTGTGCGCCTGAGGCAGAAATCCTCTAAGGTGTGAGCGGCCCGAAGAGGAAGGGGGAAGAGAGGCCATGCTTCCCCCCAGGAGAGAAGCTGCAGCAGCTTGAGTCATCCTTCTCAGGGATTCTACAAGTTTGGAAAATCTGCACTGTTTTTTTCTCCCTGAGAACTTTCCCCTGTGATTTAAACAATACAAATGTGGAAGGTCAGTTAGTTCATGCACAGTTCTAACCCTCCACAAGTTAGAACAGTGCATGAAACCAGCCTTCGTAACGTTACCTGTCCAAGGCAGGGGAAGCCCGGTCACAAGGCTGCTGTGTTGCTTGGGACCTACACTATAGGAACAGATGGGACGGAAGTGCCCCCCCCCCCTGCCCACCGCACCGCACGCCCACCTGCAGGGATGTGGTCTCATCTTGAAGTGAGGCATTTAGTTCAAAAGCATCTCCTTGGTTCCTGATAGTTAAACTATTTTCTTGTATGACTGAGGTGTTCGAATACTGTTAAGGAATGTGGCTGCCTCATAAGAGACCCAGACTGAAACCTTTCAAGGGCCATTAAATGGTCAGCAAAAGAGTTTGTCCTTGGGTAGCTGAAGTGATCCGTTATGTTCTGATAAAAGCACTTCACTGAAAAGTTCTATCCATTCATTCAACAAGCACTTGTTGACGCGTGTTGGGTACACACCATCCTGGACACGGAGGAGGTGGCAAAGAGGGTGGCCCCCTCAAGACTGGCATACTTGGGGTTGGCAGCCCCACTGCCAGCCTGTCTAATTGATTACTGAGTGAGACATCTGTAGTGATATTCAAATGAGGACAGACGTCACCCAAGGACGGCAAGCATTTCCACAACTGATTAGGGCAAGGAATAATGGAGGCAATAAGCTGCCCAAAGCTGTAAAACTGGCAGTGAGAGTGCTCAGACTGATGAGTGGCCTCCTCATGGGAGGTCTGATGCTCCCAGACCGTGCTCAGGTCGGGTGGGCTGCAAGGAGCGCCTCCTCAGCCAGGCTGCCTGGGTGGAGAAGGAGGAGGAGGAGGAGGAGGAGGAGGAGGAGGAGGAGGAGGAGGAGGAAGAGGAAGCCCAGGCCTTCCTCCCTCATCCCAAGGCCAGCACACCAAGCTCCAGCGGCCACTAGAGGGCGACACGACACCATCTGCCTGCCTGCCCGCCTGCTCCCAGCGCCATCAGCTGCCCGGAAGAGCCAGACCCTTTTCCACATTTTCAATGAAAATACAAATCAAAACCAAAAGTCCAACCTTATGAATCACTGACACTTCAAGACTAAGATGATTAGCCTCTTCACATAGGGCCTATAATCATTTGAACAACTGCCTCTGCATAGCCCCAGTCATTTGGCTAAGGGATTGGGTCAGACAGTATGAAAAGTGGAACAGAATAATATTTTACTGTAGGCTTGCACCAGTATTTGATTTAATTTGGCTTAAGGGAAACACTGCTGTGGCTCTTTCCTGGAAGCACGCTGTCCTTTGCTGTCAGGATGGGGCGAGTGTGTTCAGCTGTCTTTGAGGAGGGCCCAGCTACATCTGCACATGACCCATCATCAGACATTAAGTCAAATCCTGCTGATACCCACAGAAAATGTCACCAAAGAAAAGTTGCCAGGGTTTCGTGTGAAAGGGACTGGGACCTTATATTGTGTCCCTGGCATTCATTTTTAGTCAAACAAGAGTAAAGGACAGTAAAACCATGCCTCTGGGCCCTGCCTGTGGTGAAATGACAGACCCAGACCAGCTTTGTCTTGCAGCAGGGTCGTGTAAGAAGTTCGTGCCAACAGCTGTGTTCCATGAGACGCATCGGATGTGGCGAGGCCCCCAAGGCTGCTCTAGGGGAAGCCGCTTGCTAACTCTGGTCCCAGATCACCCCCACAGTTTGCAGACAGGGCTTCACTCAAATCCAGAAGCTGCTCTGATCAAGGAGCCAGATGTAGCGTAGGAAATTGCCTGGGATTTGGGTGAATCATTCTTCAAAGGTCCAGATTGGGGGGCCTTTCAGGACCCCTGGAGTTTAGACTTATTCTAGTTGACTAGTCCCATCTTTATATATATATATATATATATATATATATATATATATATTTACTCATGAGAGAGAGAGAGAAAGAGGGAGGGAGGCAGAGACAGAGGGAAAAGAAGGCTTTCCACA